AAAATTCCATCATAAAATTTAAGTCTAAGTCTCCACTTCAATTACCAAATTTTTTGGAGCTTAGATATAACGAACGTGAAAAATTATACCTTAGTCACGTATTAGGGACATTTCCGTAATTTCATGTCCTCGGAATTAAAAATTCCGGCACGGGCTGTGACATATAGGGCCAAACATAATTTATTATTTAAAAACTAAAACTTAAATGTTGTTTAAGTTTCATGTTGTATAATTTTTATGTTGGTTAATGTTATTTAATGTTGTTTCATGTTACTTAATTTAATTTAATGTTGTATAATGGCTTAGGAAGTTATAGGAAAAAAAATAGAATTTAAAAAAAATATGAAACAAATTTTCTCAAATAGAAGTTATAGGAAAAAAATAGAATTTAAAAAAAATATATGAAACAAATTTTGTGAAATAGAAGTTATAGGAAAAAAATGGAATTTAAAAAAAATATGAAATAAATTTTGTGAAATAGAAGTTATAGGAAAAAAAAAATATGAAACAAATTTTGTGAAATAGAAGTTATAGGAAAAAAATGGAATTTAAAAAAAAATATGAACCAAATTTTGTGAAATAGAAGTTATAGGAAAAAATAGAAGTTATATGAAAAATTTTGTAAAAAAAAAAAAAAAATAATGTAAAAAAAATAGAAGTATTTTATTCGACACATCGACGGGGATGCATTGTAATAGTTAAGAGAGTACGAAGTTTACAAGGGCCACTTCGTCAGATAGAGAAATGCATAGTAAATTAGTCAATAATCAGATGGAGACATTTCTTCCCCTTGACTAGCCTAATGTTAGAGACTTTTAAGGTGCTCCGGCGTATGCGACACTTTAAATATTTTAATTTTTAAATTTATGTTTCAAAATATAAAATTTCAGATTTAACGGTTAAAACATCTAGAATATCGGATATCCTGAATAACGGACACAAATTTTAAATTAGACTAGCTGCACAATACAACCATCGTGACTACGACTAGTCAGAAGAAAACAAAATATTGCTGGCTGCATATCCTATGTATGTCACAAGATTTCCACAAACATATTAGTACAAAATAAGACTACAAAAGCACGTGATTAGTCGATAAACTTCGTGCATAATTCCATCATCCAAATTATTTGGTCTTAATTACCTTGCAGAAAACCAAAACCTTAGCTAGTAAAAAACATAATCGCATCCCACTATTTTCGTGTTAGTCAATGAACCTTAATAACCGAAGCCATCCAGAAGATCATCATTAGGAGGCTCAAATCCATAGTCCATAAGAACCCCACTGACATTATCGACTCCTTCATTGCCAGACCAGATGCTGTAATTGTTCTCCAAACCCAAACCAGATGAAGTTGGAAGGCTTGAAACTTCTTGAGATGGTGAAATAATGCTGAAACTCTTGCCTTCTCTAGTCTCAAAACCATTAACTTCCATAGGGTTTGAAGGAGAAATTTGAGTGCAGGGATCAAAACTTTGCCCCGAGCTTACATCCTTTAGATATGGCAATGTGCCATCAAAACAAGATGGTGCTCCCTGGTCATGTAGGGTTTCAGTTTTCGGAATCGAATCCGAAAACTAGTTTTCGGAATCAAATCCGAAAACTGTGACAAGTTGGTATCAACGGTGTCTCTAGTAGCCAAATTCATGTTGTTTGTTGCCAAGATAGCCACTTTCGAGCCGTTTTTCGGCTAAACAACGGTGAGTTAGCCATAAAAAAAGTATCATTCTCTTTATCTCGTTGAGAAGTATGATTTTAGTTTTTGAATCACTTGATTTAGTTGAGTATTTAAGAAGTTATGAACGTTTAAAGTTTACCTAGTTTCCAGCTAGTTTTCCAGTTTTCCCTTGGAACAGTCAACTTTGAGGCTATTTTCCGGCCATCTCTGGCAGCCATTGGGCTTCCAAATAGGTATAATATTATTTTACACTTTCCTATCTTCATTTTATATTATGGGTCGAATTTGGTTAAGAAACGATTGAGTTACGAAGCTTTGAAAATTGCCCAAACTTCTGGCCAAGAGCTCCAGGACACTTAACGAAGTTTTTAACGGAATGACCAAAATGATGGATGGTGGACAATCTCAGGGACCACTTTTATTGATTTGAAATGTTAGGGACCAAAGTGATGAGTTATGCAAATTTCAGGGACCATTTTGGCTACTTAGCCAAAAAAAAAAATGTTAACGTTTAAAACGGGTTAAACATGTGACCTATTAGATTAACAAGTTGTATTTGAGTGACCGTTAATTTAACGGGTCGGGTTAAAACCGACCAAAACCCAATAAACCCGACCCTTTTATAAGTCTACCCACAATTAAGTTGAAAATTATGCATTGTTGAAGATAGTAATTAATTGATGGCCCTTAATCATAGCTTGAAAACAAGGTTGCTAGTTCTGCGAAGTTCAATATCGAATTCGGCTTTCAATGTGCCGAATGTAGTAACTTGTAACACCTCACTTCGCCGAGAAGGCTAATGAAATGACATTTGCCAATAAGGATTCAAAAATCCTTCTCGACCGAGACTTGGAGAGATAACCAGTCGGCCTCGACGTAGTGCTATTTATCCAAACTAAAGGTGATCCGCGATCAACTGATTCTACGGCAACAGTGTTGTTTATCCAAACTGAAGATGTCACCGGTTGCCTTCACAGTGCTGTTTATCCAAAATGAAGATGTGTTGGCGGAAAAAGAAAATAAAAATCTCAAGGTTATTGAGAGGTTTCGCATTGAGCGAGGGTTTGCATATGGCAGTTTGTGTGTTGAATTGAAGGGGCTTAGAATGATGCACCCCCTCCTTATTTATAGCAGCCACCCTTATCATGGCCGAACCAGAGCCACCCTTATCATACCTTTTTCCCTCACTATTTTACACATGAGAGGTAGAAACTGCTAGACTCGCTCATGTACCAATTTCATCTGGTATATACGATCGGTTCCTAGGTCATTTAAAAATAAATTGACCATGAATAAAATTATCATAAAAAAAAATCAATCAACAATATAAATGTGTATGTGACCCACCCAAAATTGTTTGGAGATTCGCCACTTAGTCTTCGGAATAAACTCATTCCTACATTACAAGTCAAATTTGATGAGAAACAAAACAAAAACATTTTATTTATCACTAACATCATTTCGCTCTTCTCAGTTATTTTTCCAGGGTGTGATATCCACACACCCTATTTTACTTCTCACACACCTTTTTAATTTTCGGCCGTCGGATCAGATGAATTGAAGAAGATCAATAGACAGAAATTATTAAAGGGTGTGTGAGAAATAAAATAAGGTGTGTGGATAGCACATCCCATTTTTCCATTAGCTGAAGGATATATACTTATTTTTTACCATTAGTTGAATTTTAGCTTACGCTGTCAGTTTAATTACTTCTATTTTTCATTTCCATTTTAATTTATTTCCCTCCCCTTCCTTTTCTTTTTGCCTCTCTCTCTCTCTCTCTTCCCTCCCGTACCTCTCATTCACATTTCTCATCCCTTTTCACGCTGCTTCAGCAACCCAGTAAAGACAAACAACGCCCCGTCCATCGATCACCAACGACCGTCAAATTATACCTTCACAATCCTCTTTCCGTCTTCTTTTCAAACCCCAAGATAGTTTCTACAAATTCGTAGCCGAATTTCCTCAATTTCAGATCTAAGAAACGGTGACCGCGGGATTTCCGGCCAAACCTGCAGGAATCGGAGATCGACCCAGAGGTAAAAATTATCCACTTCTCGTGGGCTGTCCTCCAGTGTAAGTGCTTTCCCAAAATCAAAGCTTTAAGTTTTGGGAACGATTTCTATATTTGGAATTTTAATTCCAGTTTGTGTATGCATGTGGAAGATTGGGGAGGAGGAAGGTGAATCAAGGTTGTTTCCAAGCTCGACCGAGAAGAATGGAAGGTTGTTTCCAAGCTCGACCGAGAAGAATGGAAGGTTGTGGGTGAAATTAAGGTAAAATCCGAGAAAACCCTTATTCTTTTTCGGTTTTAAAGGGTACTATAATCTGCACATTTTGTTTATGTTTTGTGTGTTTACGTATTTTGCTGAACAGTCTATTGATATACTGATATCATGAATACAAACCTAAGTTGTAGTAGCATTGGCATGGCATTAACAAAAACCAAATTGGATTGCAGACATGTAACTTACCTGAGTAGATGAGATGATGCCTTTTATTCTCTTTTTGTTCTGCGAGAGGCCCTTGATCAACATTTATATGACTATCCTTGTACAGGTCACATTAAGTGACTCCGGCTGACATATCATTTTACGTTGATTTATTTCACCTGTCTTACATATTTATCGTTGCGGTAGTTGGCATGGCATATACTTTGTTTCCAATGCTTTCGAGAATGATTTCTATATACGCATGTAGTATTATTTTCTGAGAAATTCTACGGGTTTTACGGTGAGGGGTTATTATATTTCTAAAGGGAAAAATGTTTTCAAAAACTTTGTTTTTGCTCACTCACATTTTCTATTTTGCACCCCTCCAGTTTTTAGCTGCTAAAAATTGTATCGATAAGGATTCTAGGCGAATCCCAATATAGGTGGCTACATCTGAGGGTATAATCCTTACCCACTCTATTGTACTTTACTTATGTTCTGATATCACATGTGGAATGAGTTTATACCCGCTCCCCAGCGCACTCTTATATTTAGGCACTTTGAGGTTTAAATTCACTCACATTTTTCACATCACTACACTTTATGGCTTCGTCACCTTTCAAGTGTCGGCCAACACAGCTCGATTCGGAGTTCTAGTGGACATTTCAGATCGGGATGTGTCACTTTTTCTTCTTAGTGTCGTGCCTTAATTGTTCAATTAGGGTTTGTGTTGTCGTGAATTGTTTTGTTCAAGATTTACACACAAAAAAAAGGCCACAAAATAAAATTACGATACTACCAATGAACAGTGATCTGCTACAGTGCCAAATGAACAAGAATTATGCTGCAGTATTCCGACTTTATCACTAGTTTATGCTCTAATTGTCCCTGATGCTAAGTGCAATCTTTTGTCGGTAGAAAAATTATTTGATATCTTCCATTGTTTCACACACTTCTACCCCACGTATTGTTATTTTCAAGACCTTAAAACTCAGAAGATAATTAGTTGTGGTGAAAGAATTGGAGGTTTGTATCTTTTGACGGGTTTGTATATTTTGACGATGGAGAATACAATTCTTTCATATTCAAGTAATTATCAAGTTCTAAGTATAAAATAAATAAATAAATAATAAATATCGGGACAGAATATCACACAAACAAACATTGTTTCTTAGTAACTAACTCAAACTAGAAATTCACCAAAAAAGAAAACTCAAAAATATAAATTGAAGTTGGAATTTTCTTTTAGCATGGAATGCACATGGATCATTATCAAATCAAAAGCGCATACATAACTGGCCAAATGGAAAACACATACATTTACTTCTCTTTACAGGTTTCTTGAAAAGTAGCAAATTCAAACCTAACTAAAGATATCATAGCAATTCAAAACAATTTTTTCTACTTCCTATCAAATATTCCCCGTCCAAAAGTAGAAATGGATAAATCTACAAGCAATGGAAATTGCATCCATATGAACGAGGCAACTGGAACACTGGCAAGCAAAATGCTTGGAATGACAATTGATGATTTCCCGTCAAGAATAATGTAAAGGCCACAAGAAAAGACAATCATCATAGTGACAATAGATAAAAAGAGGGTGAAAAGGCCTATTATCATTTTTGTGGGCAATGATTTGTGGAAATCATCTTGAGAATAACGTGAGGTGAGAATGCCCAAAAACATGATAATCGAGGTTGTTGAAGAAAAGAGCGAGATTGCATCTGAAACTATAAAAGTTGTGAATACCTGAGGAAGACCTGTCTTTTCCTCATTTCCACCAAGAACTGTGAATGCTGCAGGCTGCAGCAAACATTATGGTGACAATAAGAGCACCTACAACTGTACAAGAAGTTGTTTCCTTCATTGACTTTTCTGCCTCTTTCCCCAATTCTTTGTGATTCTCTGTAAATATTTTTCTTGGTGTCTTATTATCTATGTTTATGGATTCACAATCTATGGGATCTGCAATGCTCTCCACCTCCTGCATTTTTACGACAAAATTATTTATGGATGTGACTTTGAAATCTTTATCTCTTCATATAAATCCTTGAACTTTTGTCTTTTGGGACACCACATAATCCAAAGTCAATAGTTAAGCACATAAGATGACATTATAGTACACCTTTAAATAATAATATTTTCTTTTTTAATTTCAATTTTTTCCCTTTATGCTTGTGCATGTCGACAAAATTCTGTTTTGATTTTTTATTTTTAAAGAGTAATTTATGCACTCTTTTTGTTTTCTTTGAAATTGAGTAACTAAAGTAACAAAAATATGTGAAGGAGCAGGAGAAAATGAGAGTAAAATTATAATCACAAAAATCCGTTCTAAACAGATAAATAGTCACCTTGAACCATTGTAGTTCTCTTTGCATTTGCAAAACTGCACCTTGAATGTGATCAATTTGTGACAATGGGGTAATCCTTGCTACCGTATGCAGCACATTATTGCCAAGGTGATCTTTAAACCTCACCTTTTTCTTTAGTCCTTCAGACTGAAAAAGACCATATTTGGATCCATTGAGTTCATATTTATCTTGTTTTCGGAGAAACTCACATATAATATTATAAACATTGTAGTGACGACTTTCAGCGGCAATATGGAGCAGGCTCTGATTTTTTCGTTCGTAACTTCAAGTACGGGATATGTGGATCTACAAAAATGAGTAATATACTCCACATGTCCTCGTTCTGCTGCCATGCACAGTGTTTCGTTCAATTTCCTTTGTTGATAATAACTCATATCTTCCTTCCTCACTGCTTTACACATGAGATATAAAAATTGCTGGACCGGCTCATGCACTGATTTTATCTGATATATACGATTAATTCCTATGTTCATTAAAAAAAATCATATAAAATTAATATTGACTATTAATAAAACTATCATTAAAAAAGAAAAATCAATTAATAATATGAATACGAATGTGGCCCACCTAAAAGTGTGCGGAGATTCGCCACTTGTCTTCGGAAAAAACTCATTCCTGCATTACAAGTCAAATTTGATGAAAAGCAAAACAAAAACATTTTATTTACAACTAACACCATTTCCCTCCTATCAGTTATTTTTCCATTAGCTGAATTTTACCTTATGCTGTCAGTTTAATTACCTTTATTTTTCATTTCCATTTTAATTTATTTCCCTTCCTTTCCTTTTCTTTTTGTCGCTTTTTATTTGGGAGGACTACTAAAGGTGAACCTAACTATGGTTTTCAATTTTAGAAACCCATTCTCTATCTCCCGTCCGTCGTCCGCCGATCACCAACGACCGTCAAATTATACCTTCACAATCCTCTTTCCAAACCCCAAGATAGTTTCTACAAATTCGTAGCCGAATTTCCTCAATTTTAGATCTAAGAAACGGTGACCGCGAGATTTCCGGCCAAACCTACCAGAATTGGAGCTCGACCCAAGAGGTAAAAATGATCCACTCCTCGTGGGCTGCCTTCCAGTGTAAGTGTTTTTAATCCCAAAATCAAAGCTTTAAGTTTTGGGATGGATTCTATATTTGGAATTTTAATTCCACTTTGTGTATGCATGTGGAAGATTGGTGAGGAGGAAGGTGATCAAGGTTGTTTCCAAGCTCGACCAAGAAGAATGGAAGGTTGTGGCTGAAATAAAGGTGAAATCCGAGAAAACCCTTATTCTATTTCGGTTTTAAAGGGTACTATAATCTGCCCATTTTGTTTATGTTTTGTGTGTTTGAAGTTTTTGCTAAACATTCTATTTATCTACTGATATCATGAATACAAACCTAAGTTGTAGTAGCATTGGCATGGCATTAATAAACACCAAATTGGATTGCAGACATGTAAAATACCTGAGGAAATGAGATGATGACTTTGATTCTCTTTTTGGTCTGACAGATGCCCTTCGTCACTTTCATGTTTTTTTTCCTTGTCGAGGGGAGGAAGAGGTTTTATGCGTATACCTATCAAGATTCGAATACAAGCCCAATCATTAATTCAATGAAATATTCTTCTCAACCAAGATTTTTATGTTAAGCTGTGTTTGTTGTGTTTGTGTTGTTTTGTGTGAAATCTGTTATTTTAATAAGTGACCACAATTTCTATTAGTGACCACAATTCATCGTTGAACAGCGAGGCACCACCCATATTTGTATTAGTGACTACAACAAGTTATCGCCAAATAATGAGACTACATAAAATCATCGTGAATGAGCAATACCACGTAAATTTATCGTTGGTTGACGAGATTATTTACTCATCGCTCAAGGCGAAAACTACATCCGGCCAATGCTGAAGAGAAATCCAACATGCGAGACAACGAAACTCAACTTAACTACTTCACGAAGGAAATCACTTGCCGGCTCATTCCAATGTAGGATTAGGATACTCTAGCCAAAGCTACTCGCAATGTCAGTGCTCAAGTTGGATCTGCAACGTCCACGAGTCAAGTTTGAAAACTCCAAAAACATATAAAAATACAAATTGCTCACCATCCCCGAATTTAATAAAATAAAATAAAATAGTTAGAAAAATTTATTCCTCGTGAAACTGGTGGTAGATGTGTGAAAGATGTGATATACATATATGTACAGCCTTCTTGAACACATTTGATAAGTGTTCTTTGCTCCTCCATCATGCATACGGCCGGTTTGATTTTCTTCTTTTCAGTAAGAGCATCTTTAATAGTGTAGGCAATTGAATAGACAAACTCATTTTGATGAATCATGTAGGTCAACATTAACTTCAATGGTATAGGCAATTGATGCCTACTCCTCAAAAGTAGGCAATATTTTCTATTTTCATCCACAATTTTTAGCTTCTCGCACATTTCTCTATATTTCTGATGGTCGAATTGAAAAAGTCAAAAGAAAATAACAGTAAGGATTAAACAAGGGAGATTATATTCACACACCCTAAATTACTTTTCTCACACATTTTTAATACTTTTCTATCAAGTGTTAATGGTGTGTAGAACATATTAAAAAATTAAAAGATTGTGTGAGAAGTAATTTGAGGTGTGTGATATCTCTTAAATAATTATGTAAGAGGCTAAAACGAGTGTTAAAATCTATTTTAGTTACTAAATTTTTTTTATTTAAGTCAATATGGTCATTGTGTTTTCCAACCTAAAACAATCTGAGTCACTTTATATTCATTTACAGATTAAAGATGAATAAAAAATACTAATACTTTCTTGAGAGCTGGGAAACTTTATACAAAGAGTGCGAGCTTAGGCTAGTAGAAATTGAATGAAAGGGTACATACAAAGCCACTGGTCTCCTCCTTCCTAGAAAGCAAAAGCAGAGCCTGCGACTTAGACATATGAAGTATGTGTCCGTGTTCCAGATACACTAAAAATTTCTCAAATTTTAGATCATAAAACGTATTCGCTAACAAATAAAACGACGACAACAATCAAAAAGTGAAAAAGGTCAAAAGCAACAAAACTAAAGCAAAGTGCGGAGGGTTAGTATCTCTTAAGGAAGTCAGTAACCCATTATAGCGAACAACTCCACCAAAAGCAAGTTCTTGCTGAAGGGCAGATCATCGGCTCCACCAATTCCCAAACAAAACCTGGACATCAAGGAAAGAACCCAAATGAATGAATTCACAGGTCCCACAACTCAGGGAACAAAAAAAAAAAAAACTTATGTTATGTTGATAGCTGAAGCTGAAACGAACAAAAGACATCAGTATATTATCAATGTGTTGGTTAACTACTGTCTACATTATAAGATCGTCTCCACAAGAAAGAGGACGAATTAAATCTGCTAATGAGAGAATCAAAAGAACGTAAAAACAAACCAAAACTGAAAAACTGAACTAGAAAGCAAAACCAAAGCCTGCTATTTAGAATTTAGATCATAAAACGCATTCGCAACAAATAAAATGATAACGGCAATCAAAAAAGTGAACAGAGTCGAAAGCAGCAAAACTACAGCAAATTGTACAGGGTTAGTTATCTCTGCAGGAACTCAGTAACCCGTTATAGTGAACAACGCCACAAAAGCAAATCCATTTTGGAGGGCAGCTGATCAGCTCCAGCAATTCCCAAACAAAACCTAGATAAGCACCAAGGAAAGAACCCAAATGAATGAATTCGCAGGTCCTACAACTCATGGAACAAAAAAATAAAAACATGGACTAGAAGATTCTAAAACACTTACATCCCTTTAAACTGAAGAATCACACCATGATCGCATCTCTTGCATAGCTTTGTAAGGGCAAAGGAAATATTGAGCATGCAAGCATATGCACATAATGTCCCTCGCGCCAGGGGAAATGACAAACAAAAGAAGGAAAAAAAAAAAAGATCAAAAGTGGGATTGAAAATTGTGCAAGGCAAGACAAAACAAATTCATAAGTATTCACACAATAAAATCCATATGTATCAGATTATTCATTGTAAAAAATAAAATGACTCGCAAATATTGAAGATCAGCAGGATAGATAGGACATGTGGAATGACAAAAATATTCTATTAAAGTCGTACCCAGTGCACAAGGCTCCCGCTTTACGCAGGGTCTGGAAGAGGTGAATGTCGACTAAAATTATGCTCAGCAAACGCAGAAAAAATTATGCAGAAAGTAAGTAGGAATCACGTCTCACTTATATAATGCCTGATTCATGATTTCTTCCAACTTGCGTTTTTGTTCTGCTTTACCTCTCTTGACAGATTGTTCAGTAGGACCCTCAATAAACAGGAACACTTTGCAATGTTCTGGCCCTGGAACCTTGCATGGCGGGAAATATTGACCCCTTATAGTAATGGCAGCTCCAGTCAACTCTGATATAGGGCCCAAAGTTTCCTTGTGGGTAACCTTCCACTCCCGGGTCTGTTGGGCCAGAAGCTCCATATACAGGCACACACCTGATACCCAGTGTGTGGAGCTAAAAATAATCACAAGGCGACACGTGAATTGTTGGACAAAAAAGACCAAAATACCCCTGAGGTACACCGGGATATCTACGCGCGAGCAGTCAACAATCTTTCTTCAACAAAGTCAAAAATGCTTCAAAAAAGAGGTAAACAATTCAAAGTCTATCTAATCAAATCCCTTTTTACAAGGTAACCTCCAAAATAATGTTAATTGGTTAATTAATGGATTAATTACCCAATTAATCCATTAAATATCAATTAAATCATCCAATTAACCACCAAAATATATCCCATTCAACCTTAAAAATAGGCAATGGCCGGCCACCTCCCTTTCTTCCTAACCTTTTTCATCTTTCTCCATTTTATTACCCCATTTATACAAATAATCAATTTTGTAACCACCAATTTATTCTTTAGGGTTTAATTAGCCAATAAATTGACTAATTAAACCAAAATCATAACCACAAAATCCCTTCAAGGTCGGCCACACCTTGAGGGAAAAGAGACAAGCCTAATCGTATAAATAGGCTCATATTTTCACCAAAAAGACATTCCAACACTTTGGCAAAAATCCCAAAATTCTCTTAACATTCTTTCTCTCTAAATTCTAACTTTGGCATCAGAGGTTCTTCGGCGAAAGCCCCCCCATTCATCGTGGGCGCGTGAGGCTCTTGGCCTTAACCTAAGGTGTTAATTGTTTTGTAGGTGCAAAATTATCCAAGATCAAGGAGGAAGAAATTTGCATCCACAAATTGGTGCTTTCATTGAGAGTTGAGATCCATACTCGTAGAAGACTCTCGCATAAAAAGTTTTTCTCTATTTTCTAGTCCATTTGAATATTTTTCATACGTTCTTATTATTAAAAAAATTATTTGCAAAGGTTCTTTGATAAAACGTATAAGAAAAATATAATGGCTAGAAATTTAGAAAATTCCACAAGTGAAAATTCTAATATTCAAGAAATGGGACCACGGCGATCCACGAGGCTAAATGTGATCATAGGAGCGGCACCATCGCTACGGGGCTCCACCATGGCAACCACCGTGGTGGCCACCACGGTCACCACTACCCGCGTCAAGGTTCATGGCACCGCTACCACGGCCCGAGCCGTGCCATCCAAGGCTTACGGCACCAAGCCCAACGCGAACTCAATGTGTTGCCAAGTCGAGCCCAAGCCTCGCACCCACGTGCATCACACTCCGAGCAGTCTGCTCCCGCCGAGCAGCCACTTTCATGGCCCAACCTGCTCCTGCCGAGCAACCTGCTATCGCGGCCCAACCTACTCTCGCCGAGCAACCTGCCCTCATGGCTCAGCCTGCTTCCGCCGAGCAGCCCGCTCTCGCAGCTCAGCCTGCTCTCGTGGCCCAGCCTACTCCCGCGGCCCAGTCTGCTCCCGTGGCTTTCCAAGCAGCCCAAGTCGGCCCGAGACTATCTCAACCATCCGGACCTACCATCGAGCCAGGGGCATTCTCACCACATTTTTTCGCGGATTTGACATTTCTCAACTCAAATCTCGTGCCCGGAGTCTACCACCCTTCCACTGCCCAATGAGGCACATTCTTTCCAAGCTCTTCTAACCCAAATGGAGAACAACACTTGTCTCGACAAGTAATAGAGTTGACGAGCGCCCTTGCACAGCAGACGACCTTAGTGAACCAGCTCTTGCAGCGCACCGAGATGCAATGTGCCCCAGATGAGGTGTCCCGAAGTAGGACAAGGACAGATAAAGAACCTCTCCAACAACGTCCCGGTAAGCAACCACTCGACCAACCACGAACCGAGCGTTCAAGCAGTGTACACTCTTGATTGGGCCCTCGAGATAGCGTATACTCCCGTCTTGGAGCACGGAGAAGCATGCACTCTCGACTAGGCCCACAGACGAGCATACATTCACGGTTGGGGTCACACTCCGATAGTCAACATGAGCAGCCTTCTAGGCGAAGTGTTCATTCGCGGCTAAGCCCGCAATGAGCATCATCCACCTCACATCGGAGTAGGCAGCACGACGGACAGAGAGAAGCAGTCACTCAATACGGCTCTCAAGTTCAACCGGCAGCCTGCGAAGAACTCGCTCGCCTGCTAGGAACGCGCTACA